GCAAACCATGCCTGCCCAAACACTTCTTTCCCCATTTTGCTAAATTGACACATGGGTTGGACCATGAAACAAATTAGAAAAAGTTAGCATAAATAGATAAATATATCATTTATTTATGCGTTTGGGGAAGGTGTCCAATAGCTCACACACGTTACATACAGATAGATAAGAAACAGTGTCGTGCAAATTGTGCTGGTCGAAGATACTGTAATACTGGGATGTACAGAAATGTGCAAAACATAGTTAGTATTTACGATAGGACGCAAACTGGTGGTATGTACAATAAAATGGTGTTAAGAGAGTATAGAATACAAGAAAATAGAGTCCTAGCATCACTAGAAACAATCAACCTGGTCACCTTGGATAAAGCACAAACCTTGAAATTATACATAAACATAAATATATTTTTGTTTGAGTAACGTAAGCAGCTTTTCGCTGGACTCCTGATAATATTTGCCAAGTCAACTGAAAGAGACGCGACACAATACCTCATGGCTTTGAAAAACTGCCCTTTTGTTTGCCAGGCAAGCAACATCTGAATCCCAGCTGGAGGCGGCACGGATGAAATGACACCTGTAGGGAAAACAAACAAACAAAAACAAGAAGAAATGTTGGCTTACACAGAGCAGTGAACCAGTGGCACAGTAGGCTCAACTGGTATTTTTCTAATTAAGTATGAAGAGCTGAGACTACATCCACACCCCAAAAACAACAGAACCTGCCAAAAGCCACAATCTCCTCATTGTATTAGTAATGAGCAATGATTTGTGGTTTTCATTACCGGAGCCTGCTTAACATGTTCCTTGTCACACACTGCACTGATAATTTGTTTGCACACAGACACAGGGATAAGTATCAAGGTAAGAGGTGGCCGTGCAACTCAGTGTGACTTGTATAATAAATAAAACATGAAAAATAAAATAATAAAAAAAAACCTAATGCTGAGAAGAATAAAAAGTCTGATTTCCACATACAGTCGTCCTCAAATGTATTCATAGCCTCCTGTTAAAGAAGGAAAAAACAGCTTCAGTCACTGAAATAAGTTGGAATTGGCAAAAGTAATAATAAATAAAAACTTAGTGAACATCATGACGCTGCTTTTGAATTGTGGTTCAACAGAAATATTAAAAATACAAAAAAACACACAAGCAAACAAGCATGATGGGAACCACAAACTAATATTTAGTTGAACAACTCTGAGCCAATCACTGCCATCAGGTGTTTCCTGTAACTCTCAGTCAGACTTCTGCACCTGTTGACAGGTATTCTGACTCACTGCTCATCAGCAAAGGGCTCTGATTTGTCCGGGACAGTTGTGTTTTTTTTTTAAATTATTATTTTCAACCACAATTCAAAAGCAACATCTCATGTCACTAAATTTTAATTTAGCAAATTTTTATTTATTATTACTTTTTTCAGTTTCTAGTTACTTGAGTGACTGTTGTGAATATTCGTGACAGGCAAAACTATCACTGTTGATAATGGGGGGAAAAAAAACCCACAAAAAATATGACTTTTAAATTGCTCTAATGACAGGATTTATTGTCACAAAGAACAATTATGCAGTTTGGTTCTTTCGTAGTTTTATTATAGGTCGTCTGAAAGTATGACAAAATCTGCCGGGTCAAAAATAATCATACAGCAATGCTAATGTAATTGTTTTATGCCCCTTGGCACTTCTGGTAGCCGACCACAAGCTTCTGGTTGTATCTGACCCTTCACTTGACAGAATTGGTGCATTTAAACTAACTTTGTTGGCTTTCTGACTCAGACTTGTTTCTTCATCACAGTCCACAGGTTCTTGATGGGGTTTAGATCAGAGCTTTGGGAAGGGCAGTCCAGCACCTTCATTCCAGCCTGATTGAACCATTTCTTCACCACTTCTGATGTGTGTTTGGAGTCATTGACTTGTTGAAACATTCAACTGTGTCCAACATCAACCTTCTGGCTGATGGTTTTTGTTGGTCCTGAAGAATGTGGAGGTAATCCTCCTTCTTCACTGTTCCATTTACTTTGTGTAAAGCTCCAGTTCAGAGCATGATGCTGCCACCTCCATGCTTAGAATTAGAATTAGAATAAAACTTTATTAATCCCTTTATTAAGACCTCAGGGAAATTGCTACACCAAAAAACAACACAACACCAACACAAAATCAGCAACAAAACAACAGCATTCAAAATTCAATTCAAATCAAATCAGCATTCAAATTCAGTGTACAACATACAGATACATGCAACATATTGCACAGTCCGGTGAATGTCCTGACTCCTCAACCCTCGCTTGATGGTAGGTTTGGTGTTCTTGGGGTTAAAGGCCTCACCTTCTCTCCTCCAAACATGTTTCTGGTCATTGTGAC